GGAATATATGCACAGTGAGAAGCCGTCATTGAAACCACATGGTATTTTACTTTACTTTTCATTATTCATCATTTGCAAGCTGATGAGACATGCCGAGAACTTCAAGGCTTCTTTAATTGTAGATTTGAGATAATTTTGCAGACTTTCGCATGATGTATTTTGCACCTTGACTTCCTTTCATGTGTGCTCCATTGTACATTAATCAATATGTGCATCCCCAAAGTAAAGGACAGTGGATCTATAATATTTCTGGAACTTGAAATATTATATAATTCTGGAACAAAATGAAAGGTCAATCTGCTACCTAAAAGAAGTCATTTTTTATCAAGTCCTATTGAATTTTTTTTTATTTAAATGGACAAAAGTAACTTTTGTATTATAGTAATTAAGTAATTATAATATCATACACAGATTCTTACGTAGCAGATCTAGTGTAGGAAAGAAAGAAAAAAGAAAAGGTTCACAGTCACTCATTTCTGCTACTTACTTTTACTTCTCTGTATCTCACAAAATTTTTTTGCAGGGGAGGGCAGGGTATTTCTTTTTAACCATGTCATTTACATATTAAAATCCTGTCTTGGGTTTGATAATGAGCTATGCATGTTTAGATTTAGCATACACCAATTTAAATGTAAAGCTGTATTAGTTTCTTTTTCCTATGACTGTGGAGTTCACTAAATATGTGGATGTGCCATTTTTAAAACCGGCATCTCATAAGCTATGCAGAATATGCTTTTAATAATTTACCTAGTGGCATAAAACCATGTTATATATCAATGTGATACAGCAAATATGATGATACAAGGGGGAGTCTTTTCTCTTGATGCAGATATTCTATTACTGGAAGTAAAGAGTTTACTATCAGTGACAATGGCACAATGATTGTCACTAGCACACTTGACCAGGAGATCAACGCATGGTACAACCTAAGTGTCACAGCCACAGAAAGATGTAAGTACTAATTTGGAAACCATATATTTCATCACGGTGGTCTTAATGACATTGCATTATCCCTACACCTGAGGACAGAGCTATTTTTAAGTGTTGTTAAAATTTGTAGTTAAATGATGTTAGATATGTAAGGTTACATACATATATATTATTTGATCATAAATTATTATGTATTCATTTCTATTAAAGCTTTCTTAAAATGTTTTGACTAAGTATTTTCTAAACTGTTTTTACTTATTATATAACAATAAATAATGTTTAATGCAAAGATAATTTGGAGGAAATCACAACATATAAAACTTGAAATTTTATTCCCTGACAATCATATGCATTGAAATATTTTCATTTCAATAAATAAAAACTAAAAACATATTTTTACAAGTTTTTGAACATATATTCTGTGTAAGTTTATTTTTATATTATCATTTTAATTAAAAAAGAAAAAATTTATGTAATTTCTAAAAACATTCATCTGAAAAGACACTTTCAGGTAGCAAACTGTAGCACTCAATTCATGGTATTGGTACCCCAAATTTTCAATTTAGAGAAGTACGTAATTAGTTTTATATACTGCTTTATGAAAATAATAGTAAAACTATAAGATCTGAACTAAAGTTTTAGGTTTATAATGATTTATATTTGTTTAGTTCAAACATAACTAGTTTAGTCTATCAGTTCACAAGTAACTCTCCCAGAAAGTAAATAAGAAATGCCTCCGTTTTTACCTGTGTTTAGGATAAAATGTTACTGTTAATTCTTTTAGAATTTAGACATTTAACATAAATCATAGTTCAATATTATAATAGTACAGAATATGCAGGATACAAATCATATTCATCAGCTGTCTGCATATCCCAAAAAGAGTGGTCCATTTTTTAACTAAACTTACATTTGCAGTTGAACTGATGGTCAGATCTTACTAATCATTAATGACCAGTTGTCTGCTTGTTTGTTTCAGCGAAAAGCAGATGATTTCATTGTTGAGGTATAAAAGTTGGTAAAATAATACCAATTTACCATTTGAATAGTGTCCATAACATTATGAGTGAATCGGTTATTCAATCATCTGACATAAAGCATAAAGGAATAAATACAACACAATAGGAAAGACTGTCAAAATCATCGCCATTATTTGGCACATGAATTTAGTGTAATACTGTAGTACAGCACAGGAGTAAGCTGTGAATTTGAGATGTTCTAGAAGGCATCCTTTCTTATAATCGATTTTACATAGAATTTTAACAATCTTATTCACTTTTTTTGTATTCCTTTGAGGCTTTAAACCTTAGTCTACCTTATCCCTCATGTTATTGAACAGCTGCAGGTGATATGGCAGAGTGGAAAGTGCTCTCACATGTTTTTTTTTTTTTTTTTTTTTTTTCAATATGTTGAATAACTCTGCAGAAATGTTGCAGCAGGACTTGGGTCAGGATTTGAATTTTCTGTCTAACTAAA